CAAGTGATAACAAAAATTTTCATTATCATCATGGCGGGCGGGGGCAGCGGGTGGCGGCGGCAGGAGCGGCCTGGGCCCGGTCCAAAGGCCTCAGGGGGCTGCATCCGGCCCCTGAGCCTTAGGTTGCCTACCCCTGCTTTAAGTGGTTATGTTTAAAACAGTGTTGTACAAGTTTCTAATATTCAGGGTCTTTAGTTTCCTTTGTCTTCAGCTAAAACAGGAGCAAATAACAAAAAATCCCGGGACCTTAAAAACATCCAGAAAACATTTACTTGGCAGGCAATAGATGCATAAAATGGAAATATATATATTTTAGGTGCATTATTGTTGTTGCATTGTTGTTGCAAAAATGCAATGTGCATTTTAGGTATACGTTGTTTTTGCATTTTTATATATTTAGGGACACGTTGATTTCATTAATTATTTGAAATTTGCAATTGGTGCATTTTATATTTTGAAAGCTCTTTTGAAAGGATGTTTATCCTTAAAAATGGCCTCAAAATACTGTAAATGAAAAATAAATAGTTAAATATTTCCATTGAACTTTAATGGAACTAGTGAATTATAGTTGATAAAAGCCAAGTGATCAAGGTGAAACAACAAGAATCCCCCACCCAGACATTCAGAGGTGTGCCTAGTGAAGCACATTATTGCCTCTAAGTAATTGTACCTCAAGAACTCGCTTTTGTCTGTTTCCTTGTACAAACTAACACAACTACTCTTTTCTAATTTAGCTTCCATAGCAAACCATGAGAATCAAAAACTTATCCTAGAGAGGAAAAAAGCAACTTTGTATTAATTAGCATTCTTGATCTGAAATCAAGCAGCACAAGTTTGCAAGATCTACCCAGTTGTCAGGAAATATAGGCAAAGTGTGATATTCAACAGAGCCAAAACACACATGCACACACACAACCCACACATTTTTTTTTATTTATTTAGATGTGGTGGCAGCATTGGGTGGGGCTCACAAAGTTCTTGTGGCTTTGAATACAGATTTTGCTTGGTATCCATTCCTGTTACCCTCTGCCAAGCCTGCCATGTTTCAGTCCAGCACAGTTTTCTCCCTGAACCTACTAATTTAGAAGCTTTCTTTTAAAGCATGTGTAGATGTGTATACATATAAAGAAGTTATGGCTGAAAAGTCTCAAGTAGTCCAACACAGCAATCTTATGCATGTTTGAAGTGTGTCCCTTTGTGCGTCCTGTGGTATACACTCAGATATTCTAGGCACAGATTGTGTTTTAAGGATGCAGTCCTGAATCCTGAATTAAAAATTGTGTACAGCTAGACTTCTGTAAGCCTAGTATTTGTTAGATAATATGCTAGTACTTCCCATTTTTGCTGCCAAAAATCTTTGCTGCTTCTGCTACTGGATTGGCTCACTACCAGTTGGCCAAGATTGCTGTTGGGAAAGCCACACCAGCCACAAAAAGCAGGCAGTCTCCTTGGTCACCTCTGCTATAATTGTTCTCTTTGAGGTAGGACTCATTCAGAATGAGGCATTTGGGCTGCAGTGGGTCTCTAGAGAGCTGTGTTCCTGTTGTGGATCTCCAAATGGGATGTGATTCTTTTTGAATTTAAATTTCTTAAAATTTGTTTCATGTGTATTTGTGTGGACGAATGATTTATTCAGTTTTATCCCTTCTGGAAGAATGTTTTCCAAAGCTGGAGTTTTTGAATATATTTCAATTGATTTCAAATATATTCTCAAATTGGGGGAGAAGGTCTCACTCCTTCTTGGCCCCTCACTGACATGTAGTGGCAGATGGAGAGTGGTGGGCAGCCCAAGACCATCTGTTTTATGTTCTGTCCAGAAGAAATTCTGGAGGAAGACAGTGTCATTGTTCACCAGTTATCAGAACTTAGCTGGATCATCTAGTAAATGACTTTTTGGGGAATCCTGCCAGCTGCTCTCCTGTGTTTCTTGCAACAGTGTAGGTAGCACTTTCTTGAGTACTTGCTTTGCAGCCTCTGTGAAGTAGTAGTGACAGTGTTCCCAGTGGTCTTGAGGCATATTGCAATGTCTTATCTGAAGATGTCCTCAAAAGAGGAAAAGAATCAGGATGACAAATCCCAGCTGTAATGGTTTGGACTGAATTTGATGCCAAAGCTGGAAGCCCCTATCTAGAAACACCTCCAGAGAGAGACTGACCACCTTCAGAGAGGAGGGATCTCAGAGGCTGATGGTGAACTAGAGCTATTGACAAGCTTCTGGGAGAGAGATAGCTCAAAGCCTATCCAAGACAAAATACAAGGGAAAGTGCAAACAGCCTATCCAAGATAGAGTGCTACAGAAGACGTCTGAGAATTAAATCATCATTAGTTGCAACCATTTAAGCTGTCAGTGCTGAGAACAGCACCTTCTTCACCCATCTTATTTCCTTTTCTCTTTGGATTATTTGATTTCATGCCAATCTGATCTTGATACATTCCACCGATTTCTTTTCTGACTGCCCCATGCTCTGATTGATGATGCAGTAAAATCTGCTCTATTACTCAGCATTGGCTTGCAGTTTGACTATCTTTTATCCATTCTTTTGAACAACCATGCTACTGCCATATCTAGCTTGGTGCTGACTCGTTCTCTCAATGTCTCTTCCTATAATTTTATAAAGTTTCACCTCTTCCTGTACCCCCACAAGTGTTTCGATTTGGTTATAAATCATAGTAGAGAGCTATTGAGGTGCAGTAATTAAGGTGTTGAACTAATTAAATTAATTAAAAAAAACATATATTTCTGTCCTACTCTCATGCTAAAATAATGATGCTTCACTACCAGCATTTTAAATGAATTTTAGTATGCCTAAGTACCATATTGCTCACATATCCATAGGATAATTTGTCAGTTTAGGGATTTTTATACATTCTATTGCAAGAACAAAACAGAATTGTACTAAGGTTTGTTGATGCTGTGTGCCTTCAAGTCATTTCTGACTTATGGCAAACCTATCACAGGGTTTTCCTGGCAAGATTTGTTCAATGAGGGTTTGCCTTTGCCTTTCACTGAGGTTAAGAGAGTGTGACTTGCTCAAAGAAACCCAGTAAGTTTCAATGGCTGAGCAGGGATTTGAACCCTGGTCTCCAGAGTCCTAATCTAGTGCTCAAACCACTACACCACACTACTTAAATTAATAGTCAGAAATCTGAATTTTGTTGAAAATATATTGCTGCTAGCCCAACAAGAATGCAGTTGACCATTTTCCCTTATTTTGCTGTGTGTATTAGCTAACTGCCTGCCACAGTACAGTGATGATTAGTTCTGTATTCCTAAGGAGGTAAGAAATGTAGTTCTAACCACAGTTAACCTTGAAAGAAATTCCATAGCACTAAGCAGGATTTAATTCCAATTTACTGCATTTTGAATTTGGATGTGTTTTCTTTGTCACATGTTTTTTTTATCCCTGAGTTTAATTTAGTTCAGTTGGAACGTTTGTAGTAAATCCATCAGCCAAAATGGTTTCTAGGGCGAATTACAAACAATATACAAACAATAAATTCCGTATAATAGGATATAATCATAGTAAAACTAACAATCAAAGCTCAACAGTTAAAAATAAGACTCCGAACTTAAAGGGTTAAATGGGCTCAGGATAATATAAGGGTCCTTTCCTCTGAAAAAATTACAGAGTATGTGCCAGGCAAGCCTCCCTGGAGAGGAATTTCCATAAGTGGAGTGCCAGTGGTTGCTACTTATCTCACTTCAGATGATGGGAGAAATTCGAGGAGAGAGTCTGTAGATTATTTCAGCATATAGGGAGATTGATATAAGAACAGATCTTTCTTGACAATCAGTTCCCAAGACATAAAGGGCTTCAAAGACAAGCACCAACACTTTTAATTTTTCTCAGAAGCTGATAGAAAAATATTCTCCCAACATCTAGTTTCAAACAGGCTAGTTATACTGCTATCTATCTTTGAACTATCCCTATTTCTAGGCAGTCTTCATAGTGTAATACAGTACAGTAAATCCTGTGGACTACAGAGCATGGGTTGCTGTGACTGGGTTCACTTCATACAGCCTAGATGTCCTTTAATAGGAACAAATACAGTCTAGAAGAGGATGAAAACCATCTCCTTGAACAGCCGAATCACCAACTCAAACCACTTCTGTGCTGTTTTAACTGAGCTTTAGTTTATTGGTCGTCATCCAGCCCATTACTAATTGTAGACCCTGCTTGAGCCATTCCACTACTTAACCTCACTCAGATGGGAAGTTGGGTATTGTTAACTTATTAGTATGCTTTACCTCAAGTCCTTCCTTCGATAACATCCAGTAGTTTCATGTCCATGTTAAAAATAATGAACAAGTTAGGAAAACTGCAGGATTTGTCACAGAATCAGACCTGAAGTTAAGCCCTCTGCACCACCATCTGGCCTCCCAAGTTAAAGTAAAACCACTGAAACATCATACCTTTAACTCAGCAAGCCATCAAGAAGATTATCATGGTTGATGCTAATTAAAGTTTTTTTTGTCAAGAAACGTAAAAGGTGTAGGTGCATCTCATTCATCAAGGTAACTGAGATGGTTTATCTGCTGAAACTAGATTGAAATGAATATAGAAATTTTGTGTTATTGATGAAGGCCTTAAAATGATTTGTACTCCCTAAAGGAAGATGTGCATAGTTTGGAAGTATTGCTAGATCCATCTCCCTAGAGGCCCATTGGTTAGTCTATGACTTGGAGTACTATAGCCTTCAGCTATATCATTTCCTGGGCAAGGATAACCCAACTTTAGAACAAAATGGCTAATAAAGCTGAATCCTAGAATCACAGAGTTGGAAGGGATCTCGTGGGTTATTGAATTCAATCCCCTGCTCAATGCAGGGTCTTCAACTAAAGCAGTGGTCCCCAAACTTTTTCAGGCTACCGCCCCCTTTCCTCTTGGGTGAAAACCTAGAGCTCTCCCATGCAAATTTCTTGGTATGAGGTCCACTGTTCTACTTTGGGGGGAGGAGGGAAGAGAGAAAGTATCCTAAGCAAGGGAAGTGGCTGCCTTTGGGCAATGTTGCAAATGAAGTAAATGAAATCCTGCTTGCCATGCAACCCCACTGAGTGATCTGGGTAAATCACTCTCTCTCAGCCACAAGGGAAGGCAGTGGAAACCCCCTCTGAAGAAAATTTTTCAAGAAAACCCCATGATTCTTCTTAGGGTCACCATGAGTCAAAACAGCTTGAAGGCACACATCGACAATTGCTGTTAGTGAGCCCACATTCCAAAGGGAACCTGGAACCCCATAAGTTTGTATTTTGGGGAAGGAATGTGAGGCTGGGAAGTGGCTTGGGAAAGTGAAAGAGTGAGGCCCCTCTGTGAAAGGAACAATGCTGGTAGGTGGGGGGGCAGCCAGGCAAGCTCAGCAGGATTTCCACCTGAGGAAGGAAGGACTGCATGGCTGCCTGGGTAGCCCATGCCGAGAAATGTCCATGCAGCTGTCCTCCTCCTGCACCTCCTCCAGGCTTCTCCTGGTAAAGGGAGGGAGAGGGGAATAAAGGGGAAGGAACAGGAAACCCCAGGAATTGCCAGAGCATTGATGGTATCCAACGTTAGGGGGAAGAGAGGAAGAGCCTGCCCCCTTCCCTTCCACTTTGCCTAGCTGGCTTGAGCTAGCTAGCCAAGGCAAAAGGGAAAGAAGAGCATATGCTCTTTCCCCTCCCTTCCCTTTTGCCTTGCAACAAGCTGGTGTCTTTCATACCCAAAGAAGCTTTTCTCCTTGGACTCCTTGCAGTGGAAAGCTGAGCAGTTTCTGGGAAAAGGTGGCCATGGCAAGTATTTTGGTGCCCAAAGAGGGGAGGGAACAAGGGAAGGACAGGGTCCGTTTGTTGTGTTCCAAGGTGAGGCAAAGCTGGAGGAGCCATGCTAGGTCTCTTGCCTCTCAGCCTGGACAGACATGGCATGTTTCCCACAACTCTCCATTGAGCCTCCCTCCGTCCTGTCTCAGAATTGTGTACAAAAGAAGTTTCTTGAAACTAGGGTTGCCATAACGCTCTTCCATAAAACCTCAGATGCAAGTCTACAAAAGCTTATGCTGCAACTTTTTTCACACAGTCTCAAAGGTGCTACAAGATCCCTTAGCATACTGATATTCCGGACTAACATGACTTATGGTTGAATCTGCACTGCAGAATTAATGCAGTTTGATATCACTTTAACTGCCATGGCTCAATGCTATGGAATTCTGGGGTTTGTAGTTTGTTGTCACACTAGAGCTCCCTAAGAGAGGCTACATAGCTCACAAAACTACAAATCCCAGATTTCCATAGAATTAGACATGGCAGTTAAAACAGCATTGAACTGCATTATTTCTGTTTTTGTTGTTAACTACTTTTGCATCAACCTCGACCC